TACATATACATATATATTGAAGGTCGAGGGATCAACCATGGTAAAACAACAGTATTGGATTGTGCTTGGTAATCAATTTATGCATGCATTTTTATTCTATAAGCTAGAAATAATAATGGTACCGGGAGTTCGATCACGCATTCTGTACATATGGCAGGGAGTTACTGGAAAAGCCTACAGTATTACATAATTGTATCTTCTTTCCAATTGTCATTGGTTGTCACATCTCTGATAATGGGCACTGTGGCAGTCTGTTGCGCATGACAGTACCATTCAAGGACGTATAGTTTTACCTCATAATGTATTTACGTATTATTGGTCGGTAGTTGACTTGTAACTTCCTCCCATAATATTCGAGGACTGAAAACAGTTGTTCTTCACTTGCTGTAAGACTGTCGGTTGGATGAGACGTTCGATCGCTGACGTGTAGAAAATAACATCATGCTGACATCACTCGCCCTGCTGTTGCTCACAGCAACCTTGGCTCTGTCTTGTAATCCGGCGTCAACACCACCAACGGCAGCGCCAGCATCATCTGATTCTCCCGACAGTCAAGTTGATGGTAAGTACAGTAGTATAATAGGCTTTCTTTTTTCTCTAGGTTGAGATTTTGTTTCCTTTGTAGGCCTACCTCTGTATATTGCAGTCTAAGGTCGGGATCGAATTTCAACTGTGAGCTTTCCTAGTCCCACGGCTCCAGGATATCTGGAGTTTTCGAGAATTTCGGTTCATCTCCTCCCGGTCTCCACATTTTCTCACGGAATTTGAATTCTTCCTTAATTTCTCGAGGATTTTAACAACTATAAGGCTGTAGCTATGTTTACATTGTAGACAATTAAGCAGACAAGATTTACAGAACATCCTGGGTGGTCCAACGCATCAGTGACCCAAATAACCTGCCCATCCCCTTGTTTTTGTTTCGGGGTGGCGCCAGGATTTAGACAATTTAGAGTCTACGAATATTGTATGTACAAAATACATAGGCCTATTATTTTTTTCTCCCCGACGAATTGTGCTTTTTCTCCCCGACCGGGGTGGGGGGAGAGCAGCTCTCCCCGACCGGGGAGCCCTTTTTTTGTTGTAAACACCGGCGATTATTTTGTTTAATATGTGTATGTATTTTTTACACAGGCGTCGCAAACATCTGTCAGGTCTGACCTGCATGCACGGCAGATTCTTACAATTTGGGACCCCTTGCAGATATCAGAATTGTATGAAAAAATTAATCAAACTGTTGTGTGAATTTCGCGAATTAGACTAAAATTACCAAAATAGGCTATTCATTTCACATCACTATGATCACATCTCCATCACCATCACCAACAACAACTATAGCAATAGTTAGCAAATATATAGTCCTCTCAGGTTGACATAGGCCCTACAGTGAAAATCCGGAACACCACATGGCTGAAAGTGGCACGTTACACATCTATGTGTATGTCCAATAAATATGTAGGGGTTTATTTTACTCAACCTAGATTTATTCTTTAAATTTAATTATATTAATGAACGTTAACCCGAGTTTAATTATTGACATTTCCACAATGTTTTTAATTAGATTGATTTAATTTTGTATAAATCAGTTTCCCTAACATTTCAACGTTTTGCTATATCCATCTTTAGGCCTATCAACACTTTTGATAGACTACAGTTGGAAAATAAAATGTTTGATCTCAAAACCAATGGCGGATTCAAGGGTGTGGAGGGTTGGGGGCGCCGGCCCGGCCCCTATACCTAAATGAAAAAAACCCGGAATATTAAAATTCTTACAGTGGCAGGTCTAGGGGTTCCATATTCCTACTTCAGCGCCATTGATGGTGGGGCTGAGGTAGTATCGACCCTCCATCTCTGAAGGTCCCTCCCTGGCCCCTCAATTCCTGGACTGCCACTAAAAGTTAAAAAAAAAGGGAAAAAAATCCTTTAACTGTTCATATTGCATCTTCAAAATCTATCAAGACTTCTAAATAACTAAAACGTCTAAGCGCGAGGGGGGGAGGCTTCTCCCACACGACTCCAGAAGGGCTCCGTCCCTAGGTGGCCCCCAGCCATTTTGTTCCATTTCCACAAATTCGCACCCACTCAATAAAAATCATGCATACGGGCCTAGTGTTCTCAAATTAGAGGGATTCCGGGAATTAGAGGGATCTCGAGAGTGCACTGTAAATCATATTGTTTAAAGCCATATGCTCCGGAGGAAACTTTTTTATATATATATTGTAGAACTGATTTTTCTAAGACACGAATAGGCCTCTTTGAAGAAAAACTCGGAAGCTGTTAATGAGATACAGAACTGGGGGAAAAGGTTGAAAAAATGGTGGTTACCCTCTTTTTTTTTTTCTCCAGTTTTGAAATATTCGAAAATCTGTATCTCAGTTTCCGAGTTTTTCGTCAAATACGGTATGCTTTTCGTGTCTTAGAAAACATTTCAAAAAACATTTTTCCTCCGGAGCCTGGCTTTAAAATCAAAATATCGGAATATATCCAGCTCACCACTAATCTTTATTAGGCCTATACTTTTGTAACCTTCTTCAAATTGTTATAATAAATAATAATGTCCTACATACTGTAAATAGGCCTATAGTTTATCAAACAATTAAAAAAATGAAATAAAACTACAACATTGATGTTTCCGTTTTGCTAGCGTAATGTCATGTTTGTAGCCATGTTAATCAGAATTTTATGAGAATGAAATAAAACACAGACCGTAATTATTTTTCATCAAACCAGAAAAAAAAAAAACTACTAACGTTTTCCGTTTTTGCTAGGGTGGATATTCAGCCACTCTACTGTCGTTACACCAGATGTCGTAATCGTGTGGGTTTTTTTTATTAATCTACAGAAAGTAATTGTACCAGTAAACTTCCCAAACTAATTCATCCGCTCTTGCTACAATAAGTGCATTGGTAATGAGCCTATTAAAATTCGTACCAGAAAATTGAGTAAGACCGAGGAAGTTGTAGAGAGGAATAAGTGAAAATCATTGACCCCCATTGTTTAGTAACAACATAATTAACAAATTATGAGTTTTTATAAGCAGCGTTCGTGACATCGCGCACTCTTAACAAAGCAAGTCAAAGCAATTTAGGCATAATTTAAAACAGGAGGTTAAACAACGAATGAGCATTTCATTTCCTCAATAACAACTATTATAATCCAATTTATAACAAAGTTAATAGCAACATTTCGAAACTATTCCTATATTTTTGTAACTTCTTGAATCTTTCAACCCCCTCCCCTTCCCCAGCCTCTCTGACAGAAATAAACGGAATGAAGAAGAGATGAAAGTCCTAGATATGGATACATGGTAAAAAATACTCACGCCACCCAATAAAACTTTAGCGACGTAAGACAGTATAGACAGACGGACTGCCATCAAACGTCATCTTTATCATTATCATCATTATCTTTCTTCCTCATCATCATCATCTTTTTCTTCCTAATATTATTATCATATCTTTATTACCACTTTTTATTATTATTATTATTATTATTATTATTATTATTATTATTATTATTATTATTATTATTATTATTATTATATTCTTTCTTTTTGTTACTTTTATTAATTCAGACAAATAATTATGGGCAGTGTCAAACGAGAATATGGTTTGAATGGCCACCATGACTCTTATCAATAGCTCTGTTGGTTATTTAAATTTTTTTTTAACCAATAGAGGGTGACCCTTCCAGCCTAAGGTCGGCTGATATTAGANGGGGCCGGGCCGCCCCCCCCCCTAAATCCGCCCCTGTGATTATCAGCGAAGTCTCTTCATGAGGCTTAGGGAATAGAATTGTCTTTAGTCGTGAGAAAAAATCCTGTTGTCACAGGATTTGAACTCAGGACCCTCGGATTAGGCAAGCATCTTAACCACTAAGCTATTCAACTCCACTCCAATATTATTTGGACATTCAAGATATTATCCCTGTGCTATGAAATATCATTATATTATGCCGCTCATTGGAGATAGCCGGATATAAAGTTAATATTACATGTATATTATTTGGACATTCAAGATATGATCATCAACTCCACGTACATAAATGCAACGCCTCAATGCAAAATCCTCATGTTATCCATTCTAGGCACCCCCATTTTTTTAATGGGGAAAAGAAAAAATTAAATGAAAGTCCCCAACAAACATGATGAGGCCCAAGGTTGTTTTTTTTTCTCTTTGAATTAAATTATTTTGTTTATTATATTTTATAATTCACTCTTTTTACTTCATATAGGAGAGACTGTGGACTTCTTTGTTGGAGAGGTGGAGTTTGTTGACATCATGTGCGGGATCGCAATTAATCGGCTCCGTCGTTCACCACCGAATCCAATTGATGAGTACCGTCCGACACACAGCCTTCTCCGCTTCAGGGGACAAGTATTCGAATGGGGCGTGGCTCCACTGTCACTCAGATTCCGAAGTCGTGGTTCAATGAACAGGGATCCATCAAGTCAGTGCATCACATGGGACAACGCACCACGTGGCAAAAGTGCGTGCACACTCGCTCAAGCGCAGGAATGGGCGGATAACTACCACTCCACCTATGGCTCGTACAATTTATTGCTCAACAACTGTCATATGTTTGTAATTGAGATGATGACTTTCTTAGAAACAGGCTGTTGAAACACCAAATGTACGAATTGACCCTACTTCAATGTATTAATAAATGGTTGAATTTGGGGTGCATGGGATGAAACAGACATTTATCCGTGATAAGTCGAGTATTATAAATACAATTACAGGAAAATACATAGGAATAGTAGTAGTAAACCATGTGCTATAGATTAATATTGCATCGTTATAGACCAGTATTCCAATGTCCATCTTCAATTCTCTTCTTTTGATCGACTCTGAAAATCTGATCTTTCCATTCATTTCCCGTCTTCTAGTGAAAGCCTATCATTATTATATCCAAAGAATGTACTTATATGTACAGTATAATCATGTTTCCTTAATAAACAAAAAATGAAACCATTATTATAAATTCCAGTTTCATTGCTTAATGAGTCATTTCCAGAAAAAAAAAAACTGTGACATTCCGTGACAACGTTTTACATTCATTATCAGTCAGTGACGGAGCATCCGCTTGTTTAAGCGTATTTTATCAACCCTTTTCAAGCTTTGATAATAAAAATTAAATATTAAAGATCTCGAAACACTCAACATTAATTTTAAATATTGAATCTATATTTTAAAGGATCAAATTAGTGAGTTTTCACAATTTCCACTAATTTTGCTATTATTTACAGACTTTTACTGTGAAAGAAAATAAACTCACAAATCATGGGTAAACAAACTGTATTATTTACACGTTTGTTAACTGGCGAAAAAAAAATTCCACTATATTTTAATTGAAAGCTAATAACTAGCAGTTTTCAAAGTAAACGTTACAATTGAAGTTAATTTTATTTTATTGTCTGAAAAAATATTTTTCTATTCCCAGCAGTTAATTAGGAAGTGCACATTATTTATACCTTAATGCTGTGGCTCTTCATCCACCAAACCGTGAATTCTAAGCCTGTCGTTTACAATTTTACAAATGATTCAGATAAACAAGGGCGCAGATCTATATTGAAAGGTGTGGGGGTGGGGGACATTCTGTGAGACCACACCCACTTCAGCTCAGCCCTACCATGGTTGGGCTGAGGCGCGAAAAATTGAGGAAAAAGTAATCTCACCGGAAATGACACTGTTATATAGTAAAATCACATTACCCTAATACGGGTATTAAGGCCTAGTCAAAAGGAAGCGCCAACATGATTAAATTTCTCATGACCTAATTGATATGTGTGATATACCATAGAAAATCAATTTTAAAACATTGTCTTTGAAGTATTTACAAATTAGGCCTACTTTACCACTTCAAACCGTGAGACCCACCTCAGCCCCACCATGGTTGGAGCTGAGGTGCAAAAATCTGAGAAATTAGTACCTCTATATGGCAGGAAATGACACTTTTATATTGTAAAATTCATCAGCATTACATCACCATTATAGTCATAAAGCGCCAACATTAAATTTCTCATTTTTTTATCTGCGATTTTCGGCAATTATAGATCTAAAAAATCCGTTTGATGTACCATTAAAAATATTTTTAAAATGTCTTTGATTTATTTACTTTACTTTTCCTAATTAAAGTCCACACCCATCTAATTTGGGTATAATAGTACCATTACTGGCCGGAAATGACACACTTATAGGAAAATTTATCATCATCGCATCACTATTAATATCAAAACTAAGTGCCCACACATTTCTCATGATCTTTTATTAGGGATTTTCGGCAATCATAGAGATCTATATTAATCTCTGTGAGGCACCATAGAAAATAAAACTTAATTGTCTTTGAAGTATTTATCTACTTCATGTGCCGAAAACCAATCTTATCTTTACACGCATTTTTCTCATTCTTAAATTATAATGAAGGCACGCACACTCGAGTCGTGTAGGCGTATAGGTAATTCAGATATGTGGGCAGAGATACCGGTACCGGTAGGCCCTATCTTGCTATAAGAAGATGTATTCGGGATGTACAGGGCTCTTTCGTTAAAACCTGGGTCGTTTTGCAGATCATTTCAACAATGTTCAAGCATCTTTTTAACTTATGAACACATTGCCACATTAAATTGGGGGACTAACCAATTATGTGTGGGGAACTAACCAATTATGTGTGGGGCATAACCAATGTGTGGCGTGATGGTGGTAAATCAGTTATAAAACTTTAGACCGATAGAGGGCGACATGTTGTAGATAGCAACCAGGTAAGCGTCAAAATGGCCGCGTAGGTTGTTATGATTGATAATGAAATACCAACAACACACATATTTTCTATTTATGCACAGTTGGCGAAATGCCTCCAAAAAAAACAGTCACTAAGCCTGCTTCCCGTCAAACGAAGGCAACTCCTTCAAACAGGATGGTATCAAAGGTTCCAGCAGCAAGTCAACAAGGTAGGTACTACTAGGGTGGTATGGTAAGTAAAAAAGTCCTGCTTCCCACTCAGTCGCGCTCACACACAGCACAGGTTGAATGTTGGTCACTTCGGCCCAAAACCAAATCGGCCCAAACCAACTCGGACCAAACCAACTCGGCCCAGACGCCAACTTTATATTATACTATCTATATATATAGGCCTATACGATATTGATTTATTCAATTCACGACGACAGGTTAAAATATTTGGGTGGTTCCTGTGTTGTGAAATGAATAGTTGACGTTTATTGTCAGTTTTTGCAAGGTGCTACGTTCATCGAAAAACATAATAATTAATGAATAGTTGACGTTTATTGTCAGTTTTTGCAAGGTGCTACGTTCATCGAAAAACATAATAATTAATTAATAGGCCTTTTTCACGAATCGGTAGACACTTGAAATGATGACAAACTTGCGAATCAGCGGTGCGTAACCAACAGAAATAAGATAAGCTTTTGGGCTGATTTTCTGACATCATGTTATTTAAAGAATCATAACTCCATAACAGGTAGTCGTATCCAAAAAATTCTTCTAGCAAAATGTTCTTAAAAGACTAGTCTACACCACTATAATATGATTGAAAAAAAAAATGAAAAAAATGTTTTTGACCTCTGAAATCAAGATGGAAAAAGAAAAGCCTATATCTAACTTCTAAGTAGTGTATTAAAATAGGCCTATGCATTACAGTGCAGTAGCAGCCTAAAATAACAGCCTAGGCCTACCGATAATATAAAAAATAAGTAATAAGAATAGTATATAGGCCCTAGTGAAAAATAACATTAGGCCTAGGCCTATATGATATTAATTATTATAATAATAATACTAAAATAATAATAACAGTAAATATAATAATAATTATAAAATATATAATTTGGATATTATATAATAAAAATGAATAATAAAAATAGACTAAAAAATAATATTAGACCCATAAATATTATATTAATAATACTAAAATAATAATAATTGTCATTTGGTAATGGGTAATCACGATCGCTATTCATCTGAATAATTCTGTATCATTTTGGTAGTTGTCTTCTGGGCCGAGCTGGTTTTGGTCTGAGTTCGTGGGGCCAAGTTGGTTTTGGGCCAAGTGTCATCTGGGGCCCGAGTTTGTTCGGGCTGAATTGGTTTGAGCCAGTTTGGTTTTTGGCCGAAGTGACCTGCTACCCAATAGGCGAGCACTGGCAAGCAGGTGGAGCGCTAGGCCTAGCCCCCACCACCCCCTCCCCCTTAGGAGGCTACCGTAGGTCTAACTTTGCTAGCTGGGCTACTAAAAAACAGGGTAGGCTATATTATATTGGGTAAACCAAATGCCATTCTTTCTTGTTGTGTCATTTGTTTTGTTCTTGATTGAGTAAAACATAGGCCTAGGCCTCCTAGGCTACCTCGTCCTTCAGATGGGATGATTGTTGTTGAGCCATATAATAATATGCAATATAATATTGCATTGACTTGTTGGTATTGTGTGCTTAATATGAGCTCAACAAAATAAAGAACTGAGCAGTACAATATCAAAAAGAAATAAATTACCCTAAAGTAAAACTAAAGGTGATTTTTGGCGCTGTATAGCCTGCCTCCTAGATCCCTAACTAATCCATTGTGAATTTCAACAAGTACCATAGCCAATAGGCAGCCAAGTAAATAATGTTATTGGTTTAAAATGTCATTCATATCTTTTTTTTACAAATAAAAGCATCAAGGCAAAGAAATTGTAGTAGGCCTACACTGAGGCCTACACAAAATATAGTGATTTTTTATTTTATTTTATTTTTGTAGCTTCTAAAAAAACAGCTGCAAGAGGCAAGGTTGCTACAGGAAAAAATGCTAATAACAAGGTAAAAAAGTGAATTTAAACATCATTAAGTAACTACTAAACTAAGTAACCACCTGTGGTAAATAAGATAGTATAATACATATTATTTTTCTTTATTTTATTCATTCTGGCAAAACAATTAACAATATAAAACATTACAAATACAAAAATCATAAATTCACAAACATAAAGAATAATTAGGTGAGCCAGGGAGCAGCAAAAGCAGAAGCACTGTCATCTTAGAGATGTGCTGCTCCCAGAAAAAAAAAAAAAATATATATATATATATATATATATATAGATAAGGCCAAAACAAAAATTATTTGTTTGCCCTCCTCCACCGCCCCTAACTAAATTTTAAAAATTAGGGGCGGAAAAACAAAAAACTAATAAAAAAAAAGGTTGGGCTTTTTTTAGCATTGCCCTACAAATTAGTCTAAAGTTGTTGTCTGATGTAAGATATTGCCATTCTAGACCTCCGTGGGTTATTTTTATTCCATCTGATGAGTATTTTTTTTAAATAAATAAATAAAAGAAAAAAAACTTTTCCACCCGCCCCTATCTATCATTTTCTAAAAAAGGAGGGCAAACAAATAATTTATTTTATTTGGCCTAATAATAATAATAATAATTTATAATAATAAAATAATAATGATAATAAAATAATAATAATGATAAAACAATATCAAACAATTAAAAATCATATATTTTTTTAACTTACATTTGAATAAATCAAAATTAGTAGAAATAATTTCGAATATTAGGATGGAGGTTATTCCACAATCTCACAAAATCTAGTTGGAATTAAAAATTTCGAAGAGTCTGTTTTAGATTTTAAATGCTTAAATTTTAAAAGATAAGAATGACGATTATTAATAATTAATTTACTAGAAACTAAACTTGCATGGAAGGAATAAAATAAATTACAAATATTTAATATAGTAAAATAGTCACTTAATTTTTCAAAAGACATCGATACTCCAAGTATCGAAATGCACGCCATCTTGTCGGGATTCAATATTTCAACTTTAAATATGTCATCATCATGAATTCCTGATGATGACGCATTTCAATACTTGGAGTATGTATTATACTATCTTATCTGAGATTAATCAGTGGACCTTTCGGTTTGTGGTAAATAATATAGGGAAAACTCTAAAAAATGTTATTTCTCATTAATAGGAGCAAATTGCAGGCAAATAAGACCACTTTTGTGGAATGGTTTATAGTGGCTTTGGTCTCGAATATGCCTTATCCACGAATTGGTAGATGTGTATATAATGTAAATTTGGAGGAAATAAAGAAAATAATATTAATAATAATAATAAATTATTATTATTGTTATTATTATAATTATTATTATTATTATCTTGAAGTGATGACAAACAACCCAAAGTGGTGTGTAACCAGCAAAAAAAAGGCTCTTCTTTTTTCTTCTTTATTTCAGAGGTCAAAACAATTTTTACATTTTTTTTCAATCACATAGTGGTGTAGAATAGTCTTTTAAGAACATCTTCCAGAAAAATTAATGTGATACGACTCTCCATAATGAGTTATGAATTTTTACATAACATGAGGTCAAGAATTTTGCCTCAAAGCTTATCTTACTTTTTTTGATTACGCACCACTGACTTGAGTTGTTTGTCATCACTTCACCGATTCGTGGAAAAGACATATTAGAATCTCTCTAATTAAAGACCAGTGATAAAAGTGGTCTTAAAATGTTTCTATTTAGTGGGAAATAAAGAAATTATACGTAGAATGTTCCAATTCCAATTCCAGTTGTTTTAGAATGACATTTACTGTATGGTGTTATTGATTCTTGAACATAAAAAAAACCATTATAACACTAGGCCATAATTGAAAGAGTCACTATCTTATCATAAGAGTCCACTGATTAATTTTAGACACAAAAGAATAATGCATACTCCAAGTAAAGAAATGCACATCATCACAGCACTTTGCTCTAGAAACGCGTTCAGAAAGAATTTAACCGTTTTTAAAAAACACTTGTTTTTGGTGTTATTCAGCTGAGACATGCACTTAGAGTGTGTATTATTCTTTTTAGTTATCATGACTGTATTCATATTCTTATGTTGATTGATTTTTTTTTAAATATAATAATGATAGGCTTTTGTCAAACAACCACCAAAAAAGAAAGGACCAACGAAAGAAGACCTAGCTGCAATTACTATCCAAAAATGGGCCAGAAGGTTTCTATCAAAGAGGGCGCTGCAAAAGATGAAGAAGGAGAAAACTGATTATGATGAATTGATGGAGAAGCTAGAGAGAGAGGTAAACAAGCTCTTTTTGTAAAATGTTGTAATTTGGTTCCTCAGTCGTAACCAGGTTAGGCATCTGCACCTTGTATCTCTTAGTAAAATGTACATTTATTCAATCTATAATAACAACAATATATTATTATTGATATAATCATGAATCATCATATCGTTATTATTTATGGTCATCACCACCATCATCAAAAGTATTGTCATCACAATCTTTATCGCCACTGCCAAAATTTTGTTTTCACCTGGGGTCTCCATGAGCTGTAGTGTTACACTACTAAACAATAAAAACAATTACTGTAGTATTTTAATTATTATTATTATTATTATTATTATTAAAATGATCTGACCTGTTTTTTCCCGAGAAACATTCTTCACTCAATCTGCATCGCGAATTTCCAACACTTTCCGTTCCATTTGCCTGTTGTAATGCTTTCAAATTTCATTCTTCTGTAGAATTACTGGTTTGTGGAATAATCTTCCTCTTGATGTCAGACAGCTTACTTCTCTCAGTACATTTAAAGCCTCCCTCTCCTGTGCTCTCTTATAAAATTCAGGCTCTTCATCCCACGCAACGATCATCTTGTCGCTTTTTCGATTTGTTAATTGGCATAGTCTTGTGCTGTATGTCTCTATTGTCCTGAATCTTTGAAATTGTATTATTTTCATTATCATTGTTTAAAGCCTAGCTAAATAAAGCCTAGCTAAATAAAAAATATGTACATGGTAGGTAAATCCCATTGGGAATAGGAGTATATTTTCCTTTACAGCCTGCCATCTCAATCTAAGATTAAAACAGATTAAATAAATAAATAAATTATTGTTATTATTATTATTATTAATCAGTAATGGTAATCTAGAACTATTGAGGTTAATGTTATTATTATTGATTTTTTTTTTTTTTTGGCAAAAAACTAGTAGTTAATGTATTTAAACGGTCTTACAGGCATATGTTACCATGGTGAAAAAGGAGCAAGAACGTGCAGAACTTGAAAGAGAAAAAGAGGAAGAAGAGAGGAGAAGAAAGAAAGCTGAATTAAAGAGACGAAAACGATTTCTAGAGGCAGCATTTGATGGAGAAAAAGATGAGCTTCAAATAATACTACAAGAAGTATGCAAACCTTTGATCAGAATAATATTATAACAGTTCACATATTATATTATAGTTGAGTTACATAAAACTTATTATTGTTAAATTATCTATCTAAAAGCTCCAATCCATATTACTGATAACTGTATTTCATAAAAACGCAAGGGATTGCCATTTCTATCTAAAATAAGTACTTCTCACCTGCTCCACTGTTTTTGTTACCCTGGATCCATCCCTGAGAAATTTTCCAGGATTGTGAAAAATGAGACAGCACACAAGGTGCCATAGCCGCTGGTGCCATTTTTGGAATGTATTGAATTCGGAAATTTACAACCAAGTGGATGGGGGCGGTGTTACAATGCCTTTGCCGAATGATCTCTCAATCCCGCTTCTGCAATAAGATATATTTTCCTTTATTGAAGTGAGTGCATTGTTTATTTGATGATCAACAGATTGAAGAAGAGAATAATATGCGAAAACTTGGAAGAGATGTAATTGGTCAAGCAGTGAGGTCACGTAATCTGCTTAACATGATTGAATGTGAAGATGCTAATGGCAACACCCCTTTGTCAGAAGCTGCAGGCGGGGGACATGCCGATACAATACGATTCCTGATTGACAGGGGTGCGGATGTTAACTCGCAAGGACAGTTTAGGCGAACACCACTATACAGGTACACAGCACTTTAATACTGTACTGTACTATAATGGGCTTTCTTATGATGTGATGATAACATTTTTTGTTGCTTGTTTTCAATTATTTTGTAGGACAGCGTTTGGAGGTCATCTTGAAGCTGCTCAGGTGTTACTTGAGAATGGTGCTGACCCACGTATATATGCCAATGATGGAGCTACACCTGAGCAGGTAAGTTACATAGTTATTTATTTTTATTTTTTTTAAATATTTTCATAATTTTCCAACCATCTAAATATTTTCATGTAATTGTGTTCTTCTGTACACTTTCACCAGTTGCAGATGTATTTTTTGATTCATTTTATTCCACATGAAGCTCCCTCTCAATACCCATTAAATTTATAGGCAGTGTTAATATCTGCAATGTCCAAGGACATATTTGCCAGCCTCAGCCTGCATCCTCATTCCTTTATTCAAACACCAACACCTTACAATGTGCCATTTGTAATGTATTTCACAGATTGCTTCCATTGATGCCCTAGTCAAACTATTTCAAGGTTGGGATATTTCACAAACAGATCAAATTCTTGAAAAGATTGAAAAAGTAAAGGAAGAACGAAGAGAAAAAGAAAGGGCAAGAAGAGAAGCAGAAATGCAAAAGTAAAAATTGATGATGATCTATTTAAATTAATTATTTATAATACTATAATATTTTAAGGTTTAAGTAAATTGATCAGTATTGTTAGTATCATTGTAGTACAGTGTGAAAATACTGACATTTATGAATTGTGATTTTAACCCTCCTCAAGGCTGGACAAGCAGATAGAGGAGGCTCAGACGGAAAACAACATCAAGCAAAAAATACTAAAGAAGGCTTATGAAGAACTGGAGAAACGTATAACAGAACATGACAAGTGCACCCTCAGTGGCCATAAGACAGACTTAACTATACAGGTAAGCCAGGTTTCCCAAATCTCAGGCGAGTCACAGGCATATCTCAGAAATCAGGACAGTCTACGCTCCCACCACCTTGGCAACATTGAAGCCATTATCAACCATTATGAATATAGATCATTTTGTGATTTTTTACACACCAAGGATAACCCACGAAATTCTGCACTCATTTCCAGTGGGTCCTGGTGGTGATTGGGCAGTACACCGGAAGACAATCCCCTTACTTTTTTCCGAAAAGTGTATTGCGTTCTTTAACATGCACATGGGCCATGGTGTACATGGAACCAACGGCTTAAACGTCTCATCGAAGGACAGTGCCCTCCAGCTGAAGTACAAAGAGAGCAACGATAGGAGTTCTCCACGGTTGGGCGCACACAGCGGCTACCACCAGCTTTAACCAAATGGGCAATAGATGGATGTGTGGATGGTAAATGAATGGATAAATACAAAATAATTTATTTTTTAAACTTTGTAGGTTGTACATGATGCGGAACATGAGCTGGAGATGAGCAAGATAGCAGCAGAAGAAGCAAGGGAGAAATTATCGCAACTTAAACTCAAGAAAAGGGAGCAGCAGCGTCAAGGACACAGTAAGTTATTTTTTTTATTTTTTTTTTTTTTATTGAGATTGCTCTTTTAATTACCACACTCTTTGGATTAATATATATCAAAAAATTAGAAATAAAGAAATTTAATGGCAGACTTCCAAACAGTAGTGCTTTCATCAGTGAAATTTTAATGGTAAATCCAGGCAGAGTGATCCAGGGTGTTTAAAAGCAAGCAGTGGCATGTTTAAGGGGTACATGGGGGCCCAAAAAACTCACACCCCTCAGTAGTAAAATTCACAAATCTGACAAATCCATAGAAGAATGGGATTTTCACAAGATATTGTATATAGGGATTGTGATATTAAGTTTCTTTCCACAGATCTTGAAGGTATAGAACTGCCAGGAGTGAAAGTTAACATCAAGGAGCTCGATGACGTCTTGATGAGAGATGTTGGAGGAAAGATGGAAGCGGATGGAAGGTAATTAGGATGACTGAGAAGCCTGCTAGAAATCTTGGGAAAAAGAAATATGTGTAAAAGAAGATGTTTGTGTGATTTCTTGTCCTGCCATTCATGTAACAACAATTTTTGTATTTACTGTGAGAATGATTATGATAGCATATGTAAAAAAAAAGTACCCTTTAAAGTCCATTACAACACTGAATAGCGCATTTTAAAAGATCAAATATTAACTTCCAATGGATATACAAATCAAAACAATAAAGTGTGGTGATTTTCAGCTTTACCTCTCTTAAAGCCACAAGAAAATCTTTAAAATTGATTAGGTGATTTTTAGCTTCACAGATCTCAAGAAAATCTTTGAAATTTATTACCAGATGATAGGAATGGTACTATCCTTTAATTAGCTAGAATTTTTTTTATTCTCAATTCTTATTTTTGTTTGAATAAATGCTAATAATTTAAATATTGAAATAAATGAATGTTTTGACTATACCTACTACAGTATATTTCAAATAAACGGCCAGAGCATTTGTAGAGACAGGTTTTTGAGGGAGGCATTTATTTATTTAGTGTAAAATAAATATGTATATACTCAAATATTAGTGCACCTTAAATTTCACTGTAAATGTGGAATTAAATCATATAATTACCGTCAAAATGTGTTATTGCATGATCATGCAGACTTGTTGATCTCAACTAGGTTAGAAAAAATGTAAATCTACTGGAGTAGAACATTATTAGAATGTGTTGAGAATGATGTTGCTTCTATTAGATTTGTTTATCATTTAGGGAGTCATTTTTTTGAAGAAAAAATAAACGCCTCGGGACATTTATTAAAATAAATTTGGTAATTGACAATTATATGTTAAGTAATACAATTTTCATTTTTGTTTTTTTAGATGGCCTATTTTGATTGACAGCTCTAATAGGTCTAGCACTTTCCTTCGTTATCAAGATACCAACTACCTGAATGCTTTGAACCCCACCATGATGCAACCAGAGGTCATCCGAATGGCATTGCTTGGCGCCCTCAGGTTTCTATTTCTACAAATATTATGGTTTTTCAACATTCTTGCTTTTCACTAGTCATAATCACTTTAACTTGATAAATAAAAATATCAAATAGATCCAATTTTATGATTAATTGTTCATGCATAATATTTATAAATAGCATTGAAACTGTCTGTTTGGTGTATGCATCAGCATAATTCATTATTATATTTTGCTGCACATCTTGGCTGAATTCTACTTTTGAAAGGTATCATGGACCATAAGATTATATTTTGCATTCTTTGATTGTCGTCCAGGTATGGCAAGCCATTTGTTATTGACATGCAGGAAGTGGACATGTTTGAAGCATGTGCAAGGAGGTTTGATGAAGTTCGCAAAGGTTTTTTTGAAGATATAATCAATAAGGAGATAATTAAACCGGAAAAGTAAGTGATTTACTGTACTCGAAAATATATCTGATTATCACAAATGCATTTTAATACTAAAAAGTTAAATGACAATTTTTAGGTATTGAGTAACAGCAAGCCTTCATCAATAATATGCAAAAAATTGATATTAAATAATTCTTGTTTTAGAATAATGTGTGGAAAATTTTAATAACCTTTCCTATCAGATGTACTGTATCTTGGCCTTATTAACAGTTTTTAGATTCGAATCAGTGGTGGCACCAGAAATTCCCTGATAAGGGGTCCGAAGTCCACAATGAGAGTTCTATGTTCTTTTAAGCAAATTTTAAGAATATGTACTCTGCCCCCCCCCCCTCGGGCAAATCCTGGTGCCACCCCTACCTTGACAAGGAGTCCTAGCCCCCTGCTATCGTTGTCACAGATTTAAATTCCAATGGGCAGAGTAAGGGTAAAAAACTAATTTGGATTTTATTTAATACTGCATACAAATATTTGGATTTCAACTTATTAAAGATGGTGTAAATATTTTTTAAAGGTACAAAAAGCTTATCAAGGAAACAGACGGCAAGGAATATAACGCTGATCAGTTCATAGACGCACGTGTCAAACGATTCAAGTTTATCGTGGTAATGAAATTAGATCCGTCAGATGAAATGCTAGAAAAAATGTATCCAATCAGAGTCGTGGTTGGATGAAAAGCAACGTTTACTTATTCGGTTATTAGAACTTTTTTATTTGGAATATGTACACATGTATATTGCTACATTAAGCATTCTTGCTTACACTGTGGCAATGCTAATGGGGGGAGGGGAGCTTAATCCCTGTCAGGTGGGCCGTAAGCCTTCTTACGGTCAAAAACAAAACACTTTATCGTTGCACTTTTATTCTTTGGGTATACAGTAACATATTTTTTAATTCCTTAGAACAGAAAGTAACTTTATTCTATCAGGGCATTTCTCTTAAACCCTGACCTGGCAGTTCTTAGCCCTTGGCACCAGCTTTTGGGTCCAGGGGGAGCTTTTTATAAAAAAATTTTTCCAACTGACATTGGCTTGAGTTCCGATACGGCAAATTTAAGCACAATGGATAATATCGATTAAGTGTCACAGTGCTTATTTAAAATGGAATGTAAGCGCTGTTGTGGTTATCAAGAAACACTTTTTATCGAATTAATCAAGTTTTGTGCGGTGATTTTTTGTGAGCTATTAATGTTCAAGAGCAGCGCATACTGTATGTGATTAAAGCTGAGTTTCCATACAATAACTACACACTATCGCTGACAGCTTCCGGTGATGCTAATTGGTCAGTCGAATTGGGGAGCCTTGCAATCGGAGTCTGCTACTCATTACAGTGATTGCACTGAAAACGCTGTAGCAACAATGTAGTGATTTTAAGGAAACTGACTCTACATTAACTGTTGTAGATTTAAAATACCTACTACACTAATGCAAAGATATAAATTGAATGTGCAGTATGTCTTCCTATGTTTAATTCAAATCCACATGCAGACTTTTATAAATGTCATAATAAATTGTATAATTGATGATTTATATCAGAATATAATAATAAAGATAAAGACAGTGCTTACAGTACAGTAAATCAAAGCACTATACATGTCTATGACTTATTTGTGTACAGTATGCCTAGATCATATCAAATAGAAACAATACTTATTTAAAGATGTATTGTCCCATGCTAAATATCAAAACAATCATAAAAATATTTTTTGAAATTAACTTGCCCATTTTGAAGTAACATAAAAGTTATCAACTTCAACGTAGAAATTTGTGTTTTTAAAAAACGTCTACCCATCAGTTTTACAGCGAAAAATGATAGAAAAACCTCCAGTCACTGGAAGTGTTTTATTATTTTTAAAATTCAATAATTTTTATGCACAAGTTAATAATTTGTATGTTATTGCAAAATGAGCAAGTTTATTTCAAATTTATTTTTTATGATTTTTTGACATTAGCAAAGGCAATACATGTTTAATTGTTCACCGCACACTGTCAGGAGACCTTCCTACTTTTCTTCATGATGTTCTCAAGCAGGACCTTAACATGAATAAAAATGACAAAGAGAATTTTTATCTGTCCAAGTATTTGAAATTAAAATATTTATTATAATATATTCAAAATATACAATCATCTTCATAGAATATCAAGAATCATTTAAAATTTTGGTAATTAATAAAATACTGTACATTATAATTGTTAATAACAAATTGATCTTTACTACAAATATTTCATAGTAGCTTTATAGATTAACTAGATGATGATGAACTATGACCCAGTTATAAAAATAAAGAAATTCAGAGGTAGATACAGGACTTGCGAAAAAGGGGAAAGGATGTGCCATAAAGGTTGAAATGAATGTTTTAAATATATTTCAGTATTGTTAACAAGTTACATGGGCGAAGAAATCATAACCAGTAATGAAACTTGCCTTTAAAAGGAAGATAATCGTACTGAATCAACCTAAATTTAAGATTACTTTACAAAGTACAAGGTGTTATTGTATAAATTTATTGTTCAAAATAAATGATATACACTATATTGATATACCCTACTACATCCTTCACAATAATGTTTAAAAGAAAAAAAAAAAAACAGAATTTGGAGACTTATTTGTTGATAAAACACTAATTTTCACCACTACCATGCTGTCTTTCTTTTTTTAAACTATATATTGTTTTTATAACCTAAAATGGTACTGTACTGCCAGTCTACATACATTTTGTATTTTCATTATTCTATATAAATGTGCTTCAGTAATAGTACCGTAGGTTCCAATATCATAAGTACTAAAATTATAAAAAATATACCATCTGTGATAAGCAACAAACATAAAACATTCAATATTTTAAGTGCTCATTTCATTAACTAAGTATTAATTATCTTGCTTCAATGTAAGAAGATGTAAAATTCCATAGCAGTTGGAATCAGCAGAAAAGTCGTACGCCTTCAGGAATTTATCTGGCATCTTGTATCGGGATAGTAGCTCCACTATGCACTGTCCACCTGGATACAAACAGAAAATATTAAACTATTAAAGTTCTCACTTCTTTTTTTCCCTTTGTGTTTGTGCTTTTCATATAACCTCGATCCCACCACATCCTCTTCTGATGACATTAGAACTGCTTTTTAGGTAGGCCATATTATAGAAGCATAAATTACCCCTTGTATTTGTATTGTAGTTATTGTTAATGTTTGGCTGATGAAGCAATAAAACTTTAATTGAATTAAATACATACAGTAGCGTGAATACTTTAATAACCATGAAACAGCGTTTAATTAACATCTCGACGAGATTTGATTGACAGATAAACTGACTAATCAGCGAGCGTCATTTAGTCATGCGATCAAAAACTATTTCTTGGACATTTTAATTCCTTAGACAGCTGGTATGCAAAACATACGCGAGCCTAGGCCTAGATGTCTATGCTTAGTTATAGATACCCAGATTTACACGAGCAGTGCGCATCAGTGACTTGGCCTTTGCCGACACCAAGGTTGACTGAATGTGGCTTTTCCCTCTTCCTTTGGGAGCGAAATACAGAGGCTTTTACAACAATTTCCCCGCCATGTTACATGAAATAGATTAACACTATGAATATATGATTCATTTGCATACCGCCTACCCTGAATTCTCTTTCATTAAGAAGGTTGATAGTAAAGAAAATCTTCGCCAACTCGGTAAGTCTAGCCGCCATTGTTTTTGTGACTTTGTGGGCGGGGCTTCGCGTCCTTGTCGACATGTCAATTACAGGTGTTGAATTAAGGCAGAGCCCACCTGGCCCCAGTGGTGGCACAGCACCCACCCCGTTTCTGTATATTACTATGCTTTGTCTAGACTATCAAATTTTATTTGACAAACACATTGTGACATGCTTAAATGATGATGAAATCACGTATAATGACCATATATAGGCACATCATAACCAAATACAGTATGGGCATACTGTCAAAAAAGAAAATTTCTCATAATTTGGACAGAGCTTTAAAGGTGATGTGACCTTACCAAAGAGTTCCTCAAAATCTTCTTTACTGAACATGTAAGGTCCTGAAAAAAAATGATTCAAATAAATAAGAATAAGATTTAAATAAGAATAAGATTAAACCATATCAAAAATAAAATATAGTAGAACCCCTTCTTTGAAAATCCCTATTAAGGGGACACCACTATTAAGAGGACACTTTTCTGTGAAACAAGGGGAAATATATCTTTTAACACTACAGCCCGTATTCAGGGGACACCCCTATTTAAGAGGACACTTTTTTGGTCCCAAGGATGTCACCCTTGGGTTCTAACTGTACTTAGATTTAGGAACACCCACTGCTTATTACAGGAAGATAAAAACTTGATTTTTTTTTTTAATTCTTTATAGCAGATTTTATTTTATCCATTGGTGTTTTTTTTCTGTATTTTGTGACACTAGCGATCACATTCTACAATTCACTTTAAAATACACGGTAAAAAACCTTCGTTATACTTACCAAATTCAACTTTAGTTTTGTCATATGAAAAGCTGTGTATGAAATACTTGCATTCTTTCGCCATTAAAGATATCATTATCTTGGCATAACTGAAAAAGAAATATTGAACCACTTAAATTAATAGAAGAAATATAGATGCTATTATATGGTATGTGTAGTATATTATTATGGTGTGCATATCTAAGAACATTGACATAGGGGACTTATAGGCCCAGGGGAAGTGAATGTTGAGTAGAGGGGCTCGAAGTGAGAGGGTGCTAGCTAGTATAAAGTAGTTTATAATAGGTGATTTTTAACTACTTAAGCGTCAATTATTTTTGCCAGAAAATTCTAGTAGGGACACAAGCTTTTTTGGAGATGTGTGCCCTCCCCGTGCTTTTCCTTTCATACAAATGAAAAAAAAGTTTAGAATTTTATAAATTAAATAAACCTTTTTTTTTAGCATTGTACAGTATATTGGTATTCTCACTATATGGATGAATGGCTTTTGAGAATTATGTAAACATTTCAATTACTCTGCTCTGTGAGCTGATAAACAATATAGTCAGCCCCTGTGGAATGATGTGAACTAAGTGCCTTGATCTCTACTGCTACTAAAGTAGTCAGGGACCACGCCCATATGCAATTCAGCAATGTGACGCTGTAATGGGTTATATCCTATAGTAAGACTATATAGCATTTATAAATTCAACTTGAAATATTGTACCATTTTTGTGGACACAAATTGAATGATGTGATTGATTGGTCACTAGAACAAAAGAGGTACTTGGCGTTAAGTTTTCTGAACAGTAGCTAGTTGTACAATGCCTCATGCTTGGCAGGAGTTGGAATGGACTTTTTGTTGTATGCAGTTGCTTCACAAGCAACAACCAATTATTGTTTTGTTTGTGTTGCTTGTCTGAAGCAATTGTTCTCAACAGCATTATTCTTTTCAAAATAATCCACAAGGTGATATATTGCAGACATTTTCCAAACATTACTCTTTAAAAAAGTGAGAGATGCAATCTAAATATAATTCATATATTCAATGGCAGATCCAGAATTTTGATGGGGATGCTAGTGGAAATTATCTATAAGGTAGATCCACACCAAATCCGAATTCGGTTCATATGGTTAACAAAACGAAAAAAGAAAATCAAATCGGTAGTATATTAGAATCGAATCTATATAGAAAATAGAGGCGCATACTAAGACGAGCATCAAAACATTCTACAAACCGAATTTAGATTCCGTGTGAATCTACCTTAAGCGAGTGGGAACTACGGAGAGTTGGAGTAGTCTGGAAACAAGTTTTAGCCATTTTAGGCTATTATTTACAGTATGAAAGCGGGCAGGACCTACAGTCTGTGGAGGCAGTGGCGGATCCAAGGGGGTTGGGACGAATCACCCTCTGTAAAGAAATGTAACAAAATACTACTGGGTCCCTCCAAGGGTTGGGGTAGTCTGGAAACTAGAGTCTTAGCCATTTTAGGCTATTATTTTATAAAGTATGATGGTTTCAAACATGATTAGATACTATGAGAAAATGGAAGAACAAGAATTGTTCACTTTACCTTTCCCTGTCTTTGTGGTTGATTGCTTCAATAGATCCACTGTCCCATATGCAATCAAATTTTCCTGTGATACCACTTAAAGAAAAAAATCAATACAAACTAAATTTCTTTAAAACAAAATGAAATAAATTCCATTTTTTTTTCTGTTTTAGAGGTTACTTACTCATGGAACTTGTACAGATCACACTGGTAAATACCAATCGTCCCATCAGCACTCTGTAAGTAAGCATGATGAAAGTCTTATAGCAGGAATGTTTATAGCAATAATAATTAAATATTCAATTTTATTGCATGCTTCAAATGCCATTAAGGGCCAATATCTACTTGAAATTACACTCGCATATTTACAGGTACTGAAATTTTTTTTTAAATAAATTACAGTATATATACTGTACACATAAGGTGGCAAGACATTTTTTTTATACCTTGTTTCTCGACCTTATTTTTGTGATAAATGCTTTAATTTTATGCAATTAAGGAAGTATATCTTAGTTTTGGGGATTTCAGTGAAGCGGAAGGCGTAACAATAATGAATTTATCAAAAATATTCTGAAATTTCCATTTTTTTGGTGGTGGAGGGTGAGCTAACTGGCCAAAAGTTTAATTTCATTATTATTTCAAAATCATCATATTTGGCATTCGGAGGATTTGCTAAACAAGGTATAAAACTAGACCTGTGCCAATTAAGGCTGTTATATCGTTTGTTAATATAAATTATGTGTAATACTGTACATAAGCAGATCTAGAAAAACAAATTAAGTAGGTAGGGGCTATATTGTATATGACTTTGAATAGCTTATGTTTTTAAAAAAATTGTAATTATCGTATTTCGCGATTGAACGGTGTAAAGTCTCACCTAAACAGTGTCACCATTAAGAAATAATTTCCACATTGAATTCGCATCTTTTAAATTATATTGTAATACCTTGTAGAGCACTGCATCCTGAATGCCATCAACCTGTTCTTTGTTAAACTCAATATTATTTGCTTTGAAGAATTTGATGATAGCCACCTCCGAGCACTCCAAACCAATGACTTGATGTCCTTTGTCAGCCAACCTATAATGAAATATTAATATTGTTAACCACACCTCTGCTAGAGCTGATTTTCCTATGCACAATGCCATAGCCAAGATTTTCAAACACTGTGGGACAATATAAGAGTGGACTCTTTACACATACATTTTCTAATAATGTGGACTCATTTTCTTAAAAGTTGAAACATTTTTACACAAACATCTGGACTCATAAGATGATAATGATGTAAATCACAGGTGGGCAAAGTATGTGGGTAAAGTGCAGGCTGCAAGTGACCCAACAGCGATTTTTTTTTGCAGCTTTTGAAAATGAATTAAAAACCCTAAAACCACCAAACGCCATGGGCTAGAAAACACCTTTTTTTTACGGCCCAACACCGATCATCTGTAAAAAGTAATATTAAAAATGAGAAAAAAGTGGTGTAAAAGCAATGCTTGGAGATTTTTTGAAGCACACTGGAAAACATCAAATTGTGGGTGCGGCCCTCTGTGTTAAATCAAAAAATCACCTTGGCCGATTTTTATGATCACCCCTGATAATAAATATATGTTGTAGATGATGATGATGTAGATGATGATAATGATGGTGATGATGATGATGGTGATGATCAACAATACCACTTACCATTTCATATCGATGGCTGTACCACAAAGAGGAACAAATATTTTGCATTTTTTACCAGCTGTAAATGTATCAATGTTTTCAACCAGAGCTCTTTATCAGAAAACAAAAAACTTAATACATTATATTCTCATCTACAATTAGTAACATTCCCGGTGAGGGGTCCAAGGTCACTGATGGGAGTTCAAGCTCTTAGTATCCCTAGGGGTTCATACTCAGATTCACCATTTCTTGGAGAAAATTTTAATAGGCACTACAGATGCCCAAAAATGGCACACTCCTAAAAATCAGCAAAGGTTGAAATCATGATTATCCTGACTCAATCCCTTCATATGTTTATGAGCAACCCAATGTTATAAAATTTTTGAGAAGTTCTTTTGTTGTTGTTGTTGTTATGGTTAAAGTTTTTAATTAATATATTGTTGAAAACAGTGGCATTTTGAAACATCATAAAAAAAGTACAAAACTGAGCCTTTTTGAGATTTTGTGTTGGAAAGCTTTGCGAGCACAACATTTTTTTTAATATAATGAATTTATTCATACGGATGAGGTTCCGATATGAATGTGCTGTCGTGACCAGAACTCCACGATGTATTCCAGTCGTTTACCGTCATTACATATTCCTCATCACTAGCCATTTTCCTGCAAACAGAAATAGAAAAATGGTTTGTTTTACCAGCTACATTTATGTAGTATAGAGCACTTTATGCTCTGTCCACCATCAAATTTTATGTGACACATATGTTGTCCATATAACAGTGGTACATGGCATCAAAACCACCATGGATCACCATGCAGATACATGATGAGTTGAAAGTTTCACTAGTAAGGTAGCAGTTTACAAATGAAATCTCATTTATAACTATTTGAGGTGGAACAACAAGTTGCTGGTACCGGGTTACCGCGTAGCACAAACACGATTGGACCCTTAGGGGTGAAGAAAGTCATTGATTGAGTTTCTACTACACAAATCAAGCGCCCTGAGCATCTTCAATGTTAGATGGATGTGGCGCTATATAAAACTATTACTATTATTATATTGTAGTGTACGCTTAATTATGTACAGTACTAGCCTATATTTCTTTCAAGAAAGTTAAAAACGTTTTCAATTTTTGTTTGTGACCTTGAACGTTTCATTTTACAACACACAGAAACCATAGTTAGAGTGGGGTTGGGAGGGGGTGGGGTGCCTGGTGGTGAAAACTATGCATGGCGTTCCTTTCATCCAGGATGCATATTTGATACCTCCTTCCTCTCATAAAAGTGTCCATACTATTACATTGCAAACGATAGGCCTAGTTCGAGGCCAAAACCATGCTTGCGTTGAGGGCCTTTCTCGGTCGATCGAGACAGGTCTGGCCCTACTCCCACCCTACCTTACCCCATCCAATGGACGTAATTTTCAGATGCCTAATGAATATTTTCTCCTTCTTGGAGCTCTATGTAGGCTAATAGTGAACATGCACAAAGCAATTGAATAGAATAGGCCTAGAGACACGTGTTTATGACTTACGGACCCCGATATTTTTAGTGTACTATTTTTCCAGGCCTCTGTTTTTAATATGTAAATCATGTTGAGGGCGCTTTCCATGTGTTCACATCACGCATGTTTTTCCGGCGCCGGATGTTTGGAGTCAACGTGCGTTTTGAAACTAAAGTTTAAAGTTTGAAAAATACTTTTAAATAATATGCTAAGGTTGGTTTTTGTGAATAATTTTACAGGTTTTTTAAATAATAAACGTATTTGTTAAAATGAATCAATGACTAGCTAGTTATAGGCTAGATTAGATTATTAGAAGCTAGCCCCTAGGCCGGTTCATTTTTCCAACTGACCGTTTGCACATACAGTAAAGAGTTGTATCCGTATTATACACGGACTTGCAGGATTGGCTATCGCCTGGTGTTGATTTAAAGAGGGAAAATGAATCCTATGCCTGACCTTCTGTAATGAGACGTTTATCTCTCACATGTGTAGCTGAATATTCGGCTACTTTTTTGCAACAATCCTTGACAGCTTTATCTGGCCTAACTTTTATTCTTTTTTTTAACCTGGACTACAGTCACTGGATGATGACAATTAATGTTGTTTTGCAAATGATGAGTTTCTATCAAGTTGCCCTGGACCCTTGCATCACCCAGCTTTGTCACCCCACGCTTTAAGAAGAAACAGACTTTGGCTTTGGTCTCACTGCATAATGTTGTCTCAAAATCACGTAATGAAATTACCGAAGAAGCTAACAATAAAATAAAGCATACATTACAAACTCCTAATAAATCGCAGATGTGTATTAATAATAATAATAATTCCATACTTCTATAGTGAATTCCGCCAAAAAGCCTCAATGCGCTTTACAAAAAGAAAAGAGAATTTTATGAATTTCTCCTTATTATAGTGGATAGACTAGATTTGTAAAATGCCAGCAAAGAAAAGAACAAACGTGGAAGATATTAATGAAGATGTCGTCAAAACCAAGCAAACAAAACTTAAAACAGGTAGTGATTTCAAAACTTATTAATTAAATAATAATTATTTATTATTTAATTAATTAACTTATCCCCCAGTTAATAATTATTTAATTAATTACTACTGCTTTTTTTCTAATGTGTTTAGTGTTTAAAATCTGTCTTTACAAATACTAATCAAATCAGGTATGGTATATGAGCCTTTTTAATTTGAAATTGTCGTACAACCTTTAATCACTCAATACTACACAAGTTCCACAAGGAAAAATGTTATTATTGATTTTTGCCAAAAGTATTCGAAGACAGTCACACAAGGCTTTCGTAATTATTTTAATTGACTATCGACTATTCATTCATTGATCATTTTATTTCAGAATTTCATATCCTTAATATAAAGCAATAAACAATAATAAATATAAATGGAGTCACTATTACTGTACAAAGAAATTTACACTCAGTCTTAATCTTAAATTATTAAAAGAGGTGCAGTTAATACAGAGCAAGGTTCCACAACTGATACATTCTTGACAAATTAGCGTGTACCAATATATTGCTAAAATCAGCAAATTTAAGCTTAAGTCAAGACATTTCTGATAAGACAGCCCACCTCCTCTGTACCTTTGAATTTGTGTCCCAGTGTTTCCTCCTTGCCTGAGAAAGGTACAGAATATGCTGGGGCAAATGCAGGGGGGTGCAGATGGTTTGATCCCACCCCTCTACATTATATTTAGAAAAATAGTTGTATTGTATTCTGATATGAATTACAGGTAAGATTTTTAAGGTATAAAAGTGCAATTTCTGGGCATCAACATTTTCGCACCTCAGGTGCTGTGGACTCTCTAGCATACCACTAAATCCTGTATCTGCCACCGTTATGAGTAACTCAAATAAAGTTAAAGGTTGGCTTACAATTACTTTTTGGGGGTGGGTGGGGAATTGGCTTTGAATTTGGCATGCAGTGTTGAAAATTTGCCTTTTGATTGACCGTTCCGTGTGAAGTTTACAGAATAAAGTTTCTTCATACTGTAAACAGCAAATTCCTGAGTGTAAGCCCTCCCCAGTATCGCTCAAATTTCTTGATGAAGTTGTTGGGCACATACAGCTGCGGAACTACTGTACAGTGCTACAATTATTTCGTCTTTGAATTTTTTTTTATGTACTTTACTCAAATAAAGTTAACAGTTGTTTATTCAAAAAAAAAAACCCTTTGTTTTTCTTAAGTGAGCCACCAGTCACACCGCAACCAGCCAGGTGTGGTGTTGACGGTAGGTCAGGGGGATGTAGGCCAGCTGGGCCTAGGAGAAGATATCAGTGAAAGGAAGAAGCCAGGCCTTGTAGTATTTCCAGCTGAAGCCCAGGGTAAAGTTATACAAGTGGTTGCCGGTGGAATGCACACAGTTTGTCTTACAGCAGACGGAAAGGTAAGGGATGTGTAATAAATTTGAGTATTCCTGTAGCAGTTGGCATATCAGAAACAGTTTGATCTTTTTTCCACACAATCCCTCTCTGTGTTTTTTCCTTGTGTTTTTGAGCAAGGCACATTGTGTCTCTTCACCCAAAAGTATAAATGGGTAGTTAGTGGGGTTGCTGGTTCCTGAGTACAGCAACAACACTTAAGCATTTGGACCCAACGGCATCACAAAACCATGTGATTCCGTCTTTATACTTAGCAACTACAGTAGCTACAGTATCAAATGGTAGCTAGAAACAATTCTCGCATCTTTAACTAATATTTTAACTAACTTTAACTAAAAACTTAGTCAAACATAATTATAATTGATGAATAATTTGTATTTTTTTTTTTTTTTTCAATTTAGGTTTATACATTTGGTTGTAATGATGATGGTGCTCTTGGACGTGACACATCAGTGGAGGGGTCCGAGTTTGAGGTTCAAGCGGTGAATAATCTTAATGAACGAATCATCCAAGTTAGTGCTGGTGATTCACACACTGCAGCACTAACAGAAGATGGACGAGTTTTTGCCTGGGGAGCATTTAGGGTATGTGAAGGATTTAACTATCAGTTTAAAGTCAGACTGTTGAGGAAAACAAGTCTTTGATTTGATACCATCTATAATCCCCCAGTTTTTAAATATCCAAAAATCTGTATCTTGTTGTTTGTTTCTATTTTTTATTTGTACAGTAGCTGTTATATTTTTGAATCTCATTTGTTTTGTTATTACTGTGTATTGTGGCATTCGTACAACCATCGGCCGATGAATCAAACTCCACTCCCTATGAGCTCAGATGATGCCACACCTTCTGCTGTTTGTCAGTGGCAGCCTGAACGAATAATCAATAAAGACAATCCATGTCGGTCATAGTGTTCTACATGGAATCATGACGACTGTCGAGCTTTGTGAGTGCCCGGCTCTTGAAAAATTAATTTGTGTTTTAGAACATAATTAAAAAAAATTTACCTCAGGAGTCTGCCTTTAATGATGATTCCTTAGTCTCTCCATCTGGAAACACTTCATCCTTTAGAGCAACTACTTATAGAAATAATCTGGTTTTTTTTCGAGCAGAGAAGTCAAATGCAAATGCTGCAACTCTGTTATATTTTACTGAGCTCTTTTTTATACCACAAAAATCACTGAACTTTTTATTTACAATATATTGTGTTCACAATTATGCTGATCATAATTGTACAAAATCTTGCTGCCTAAAAAACTATTGCAAATGTGGATCCAAGTGTGAACAGGAGTACAATTTCACCAAAATAAAACTACCTTTAATGTCTGTACACACATTGAAATATTCTTTAGCAAAAAACTGTATGTGCCTATACAGTATATAGTCATTATGTGATGTCATGACCATATTTAGGCATGTCACCTTTTTTTGTCAATATGTGACGTATTGACCATATAGGCATGTAACATTTTTTTGTCAAATAAAATTTGATAGTCTGTAAAGGCTTAAGTCTTGGTGAAAATTATTTTAATGTGAACATGGCTTGAGAATATTAATTAATAACTTTGGATTTCTTATTGGCAGGATGGAATGGGTATAATTGGATTAACATTAAAAGGAGTAATGAAAGAAGTGTACCAACTACCAATTGACCACACCATTGTCCAAATAGCCTCTGGGAATGACCACCTTTGCTTACTGTCTGACCAGGGTTTGCTATTCAGTATGGGAAGCGCAGATCAGGGTCAGTTAGGAAGGGTTGCAGAATGTTTCTCCTTGAGAGGTGGTCGAAAAGGATTAGGTAAGAAAGCGGTTTAGCAAAGCGGGAACTACTTAGTTTTCCAACCTCGAGGTCGGGCTATCAATTCCTTGCTGTGCATTTCGCTTGTGTTCTTGAGCAAGACACTTTATCTGCATTGCTTCTCTTCTCCCAGGAGTCTTAATGGGTACCTGGTGGCGTTGCCTGCTCCTGCGCTGATTACCAGCAGCAACACTTAAAGCATGTGGACCAAATGACCAGGGGAAAGAATTGCGCTTTATAACCACAAGGAAAAGGCGCATTATAAAGGCCCGTACCAGTACCAGAAATATAATTTTTGAGTATATACTGTACGTGCTTGCTTGAAACTTTGATACACTGTCTAAAAAAAACAATAGTTCTTTTCAAAACTATATATTTGGTGTACTGTACTGCAAGCATTTATTATTGTTACTTTCCCATGCAAGCCTTCCAACTGGTGGTCGTAAATGATGTACTGATAAAACGTTACCTTTATTTTAAAAATATCAAATATGCGAAGAAAAATCGTTCTGTGGCAGCCAAAGCTAAATTTTGAAAAGTACACTATAGAACTACAACACAATTAAGCAAGAAAAAAAAACATTTACAGTTACAGAAAGAAAAACATTAAAACAACTAAATTCTAAAGTGTCAACATACACATGTAAGTTTCGTGACTGCACTACCCAATTTTACCCATTTTAATGGCATATCTAATGTTAATGGCATACCATTGCCCCTTTTCTTCTGATAAAATTTACTGTATTTGTATAACTTTTTAATTAATTTTCATTTCCTAAATTGTATACTGTATAGTAGGCCAATTTTCATTTTTGTAACTGTAAATTGTAAGTAGATAAGTATTTGTATATAAATATTTAATAAAGAATTGTTGGTCAATTGTACAGTACATTTTAAATTGATAATCAATATTTTTTGTGTATTTATGTAATCATATTTTTATAGGATTAATATTGATCCTAAAATATTGTATGATTTTTACTTCTCTGTGCTTTTTGTTTAATATATTTTATTGAGCTCTATCAACAACAAAAAATTTCCAAATGGACAATAAAGATTTCTGTATTCTGTAAACAATATCACTCATTCGTTACATTCAATGCTCCATTATTATTTTCTTTTCGATTTTGAGCTGCCCTACACTAGCTTTGCATTTTAAGTTTTGCTCTTTTTAATATTAAACATGTGTGGCAAAGACAAGCCAAACCAGTCATTCCTCACAAAAATTGATTTTTAGTTATTAATACAGAGTTAAACAGTAAAATGAGAGTTATTAAATCCAACGTTTTGTTATAAAGTTACAGGAATGTAAACATACAGCTGTTTATAGAACAATATTTGAAAAATCTGCCGTCAGGCAGAAACCATCACCTCGTTAAAAATTGTTGTTTTAACATGGAAAATTGGAAAAATAACAACATAGCATGATGTATAGATATAGAAAGGTTAGTTTAGGTCAATAAAATAGAATTCAAATTATCTGTACTTGTTCAATCTTTTGCAGGTTTAGTCTTAAGTCCAACACAGATCCATTTTAAGCGTATTCGAGGTTCTGGCGCTCCAACTTTTACCAATGTATGGTGCTCATCATACTGCACGTTCGCAAGTACCAGCGAAGGACACATCTATGGGTGGGGGTTAAATAATTACCACCATCTTGGAATGGAAGACACCCGGACATGGTTTGTGCCTCAGAAAATCAAAAGTTTCAGTAGTCTTCAAATTAGTGAAATTGTAGGTGGTCAGCATCACTCATTACTACTTGATAATAAAGGTAAAATTATTATGATGATTATTATTTAATAATAATAATAATATGTTATATTTATATAGTACTTAATGCCAACAAGGCATCTAAGTGCTTCACATTACTACTTTCCTGTCATTGGATTATTTAAATAAAAACGTCTTGTAAATGTAACAGAAATTTGTGTATTTACCTATAAAAAATAAATTTCTTAAATCAATTTATAAATAATTTTCAAATCAATTTACCTAATTAATTTTTTCAATTTATTTTTGTTATCGTACAGGTAGAGTTTACTCCCTCGGTAGGATTGACTACGGTCGACTAGGTCTTGGAGAAAATGTTGAAGAATCCCATAAACCACAGATTGTTGAAACAATTAAAAAGAAGAAAGTAACAAGCATAGACTGTGGTGCTAGTATGAGTATAGCAGCCACCAAAGAAGGTAAGAAAGGCCTGCTTTTAAGCATTTTAGTATTAAAAAGGAAGAGAGTCTGTAAATACGTCGCTCCCCTTTTTACGATAGAAGCTGCCATTGTTGTCATAGAAGTGCACTCACTGCAACTGTATGATAAAAGGAAAAGTAAATCTACCACCCTCTACAAAAGTATTGCATCAGTGGAAAACAGATAAACATAGTAGTATAGTACTAGTATAGGCATTTATAATGCGCCTCTTCCTTGGGGTTATAAAGCGCAGTTCCATTGGGTCCACATGCTAAGTTTTGCTGCTAGTAATCAGCGCAGGAGCAGACAACCCCACCAGGTACCCATTTATACTCCTGATTGGAGAGAAGCAAATCAGATAAAGTGCCTTTGCTCAAGGACACAAGCGAAATTCATGGCAATGGATTGAAACCCCGACCTCGAGGTTGGGAAACCAAACCATTCACACTGTGCCATACCGCTTCATACGTTAATTTAAAAAGCATATAGACAAAAGCAGGCGTACTTTTGTATAAGAGTGTTATATTCAATTTTTTGTCAAATGTCAAATAATACTCTAAAAAGAAACTTGCCACTAAAGACATATACATTTCTTGTTGGTTTTTATCCTTATGAAAATAGCTTTACAAAATGTACCTCAAAAAAACTTTAACGTATGTTGTGAAATATATAAACTTTTATTGATGTGGTTTTAAAAGAAGAATGATGAGCGTTATATGAATTTAATCATCAGGTGAGGTGTACTCCTGGGGGATGGGCAGTAGCCTTCAACTAGGAACTGGAGAGGAAGACGATGAGCTTGTACCAGTACTTATCAAATCCAAACAGCTTGAGAACCGAAAAGCCATCATGGTCGCCGCAGGAGGGCAGCATACGGTTATACTTGCCACCGACAAATGATCAGAACACTGAAAATGTAAGACAAAAAATCTATGCAAAAAGTACCAGACGTGCTCTCAATTTCTTGACATTAATCGGTGCATTAATTATTGTAATGACCTGACCTGTTGTATATTACCTGTTATATTGTGACCAGTTTTATCAGTAAAATTCCATCCCTTATGACTCAATATAGAGTTTTAGTAGGAATACTAAGAATTTCTGCTAAATTTCCCTTCTAAATAAAAATGAAGACAAAGTTAACAGCACTTTTTACTAGAACAACATAGGTTTTCCATGCAGTCCTGTGATTTTGTTCACACAATCAACAACTCCATAGAATTGTCACCTGAAGAACTTCACTGTGTAAATGGAAGCTTATGATTGTTTTTAATGCGCTCTCAATTTTCTTATATTTAGTCTATACCTTTGTCCACACTAAAAATTTACATGTGGCACATTTTGTGTGAATTTGCCCATATATGGGTATACTGATGTCATATCACACCCAAGTTTTGGCAGATAACATATGTTTGTCAATAAATAAAATAAACAGCTGGCCACATCTTTATAAGTGGCTGATGGTAATAAATAGGCCCATATGCCCATGTATGGACACATCACACACATTTGTAATATAAAAGTTGATTATGAGGACAGGGAGCCTAGCAACTTGTATTGGAAAGTAAATTACACATGCATGAGGCTACAAATAAATATAAAGCTGATGATTATAGACATAAAAAGCATGAGATAAAGATGATGTTGATTGGAATGTATATATCACAATTTGTAATGTACCTATATTTTTTACTCATTTTTTGTATTTTCATTAGAAATCTAAAAATTAAATTCAAGATAAATGTTACCTTCTATAATAAGTAATAATGTCATTTTATTAACATTCATGTTGTAATTCATTCATTATTTATGAATTTTTATAATGAGTTTTTCTGATGGTAGTTGATTATTTGTGGCAATTTAATCTCATTGTAAAATTATTAAAATCAAAACATCTAATTTCCCAGATATTTAAACATTTTAAGTTGAGTCAAACTCAATTCAAACAATTAACCCACCGCAACTGATGAGTTCATATTTTTATCAACCACTGATTATTCAAATGTCATTTATTTTGTTGTTATCTTGTTTGTCATGTGTGGCCCTTAACATCTATTAATAATGATGATTATGTTGTTTGTAAATTAAAGCTTTTCAATAAATACTCCAGTGGATGAAAACGATTTGTTCCTCTTTGATAGACTGTATACATTTGGTAAAAAAATATTTCTGCACATGTCTAAAATCTCATTCTGTATCTGCTCGGGTATAAGCCTACCTTGGGAATATTTCCAATTTATGTTGACAGCCTCTCCTCTGGCAAAAGCCCATGGTACAGTATGTTTTTCCTTTCAAATATTCTCTGATAAAAACATCAAATATAGGCTTTGAATTAGGCATACAGTGCCAAAAAATTGTTATGGCGTAAGCCCATCCGCACTCATTTGTAATTTGGTATTGGCCCTTGGTTTCCAGTATTTGATACCAAACCAGTTATATGCCTCACTTAGTTTGACAGTTAAATGCACAATTAGGCTATAATATCTATAGATTATACCATCGGTCGTTCTAGAGTCCTTGGACAATTACAGAAACGTTCCCAAACTACAAATACCAATCATAAAACTACTGTAGTATTATTCAATCCTAATACTACATTACACTAGTCCGAGGTTAATTAATTATGTGTTAAAAATGATGTTAAATTGCTCGCAATACATCCCTTAATCTGATGATAGGCCTCTCTCTATTTTTATACTTTTATATATTGGTATATTTTGTGTCTTAATGTTTTTGTATGTCAACTCATTTAGCCTTGCGTGCTCCCAGTTTTGGGACACTGTTCTGGGCTCTTTCTTTGTTTCCTGTATTGTTTTTATGCAATAAAGTGATTTTATATATATTAGGACACGTTTTTTTTCTCAAGGTATTGCATAATATGCAATGAATAATCGTAAGTCACATTAGAATAACTTTGATAAGGAGATACACCTGCACTGGTGATTTTTTTTTACGTTTATGTAGAATAGGCTATGCATTTTCTTATTTGCTCCAACGTAAGTCCAAAATCACAGTGAAAGATCATTCCTCAACCAGACGCCTGCCGTTGCTTGTTGAAGTCAGCCTAAGGTGTAGGTTGACTCGCGTTGTGGCAGATTTGGACTTGATGTCATGAATCGATTCACCACACAGCGTTGGTGTGGTTTAACAGGGCCGCAGGAGGGCGCCACGTGTAAGCTTTAGCATGACCCAAAAAAATGGCTGGAAAGCCATGTTTGACTATTGAAACTATGTTTACATGATTTCTATGTACCCAGGCTAGTGTCCGTAAGACTTGTTAGATCGAAGTATTAAGAAGCTTTGTTTATTTGAGAAATGTATGCGAGTTATCTAAGCTCTCTTGTGTCTGGGGTTTTTTGGTGTTAAATATTTTCCTGGTCATTTTTTGAGAAAATATTCCATTATAGCTAATAGAAATACTGTACATTTATTCAGAATAATATGAAACCAAATTCATCTCCTGCACATTCTAACTCTAACACAGTTTTCAGATTTTCCTGAATTGCAAAATTTTACCCAAACCGCTTTGGGACTTTAGCTCATTTGCCAGTATGGAATGAATTAAAACTTGTTATGACCTTGAAAATGAGAAAATTATAAAAAAAAATATGTTTTGGCCTAAAAACGGTGTTTTATGGTAGTCTTTGGAGAAACCTTTCCATTACAGCTAATAGAAACACAGTATTCTGAGTATTATGAGACCAAAGTCAACTCTGCTGCACACATACAAACAGACTGAGTTCCGATTTTTGCAAAATTTTACCAAAACCGTCTTTTTGAAAGTTACAGTAAATCAATTATTTTTGGGGGCGGGGGGTGGGAAATGTTTTATTATAGCGAATATAAATATGAGCCTTTCGAATAGTTTCGTACCAAAATGAACTCTGACTAATAGTAACTGAAATACAGTGTTGGTCTTTTTTCCCCAAAAATGCATGCTTTTGCATATAAGTGGCCCTTAGATGAAAGAATTTCGCTTGGGATCCACCTGATTCATAAATCAGTAAGGTCCAAATGCCCTAAATCAACTGATCCCAACTTCTAAAAAAAATTCCCATTGCGTATCTTTTTAGGGATTTGGAACCTTACTGTATATGCACCTTTATGTATAATCTCATTGTTTGCACTTTGTTAAAAGCCAATGTCATATTGCACCACTGAATATTGTACTGTATTCTGTTGTCGATAAATTTAATTACTGTCTGGTATCCTTCTATCCTTGAACGCACAACACTCCCAATCTTATATGCATGGTGCAACTTTAGCGAAGTCATCCAAGAAGAAAACCACTCTCTTGTTATCTTTTCTCCCACATCCTACCACCACTCACCTTCAGTGTTCTCTCCGTTTTTCACGACTCAGTGCATTCCTGCCTATTCCAACTAATACGTGTGCAGGTACGTGGGGCAATACGTGTGTTTGCACGACACGCGTATATTCGCGACCCTGTTCTGATTGGCCAGTTACGGAGCCCCTAAAGGGACATGGTTAAAAAAATGAATATTAATAAATATCATCAAGTGTTATTTAGCTTATAAATTCTATCAACAAGTGTGTTGACTAATAGAGCAGGAGCCCAGGGGTGTCAGCATAGCTGGAAAGTTAACCAATTTTTGTGTATATAGTAATGTTCTATGTGCCTGTCTATGTAGGAGAATGGGCATCTGCCGGTCCCATTGTGGTGGGTGTGGTCAGGAGGGGCATAAAAAGGACCCCAAAAATTGAGCTAGATCAACTTATGAATTAACTCAATGAAACCTATCAGAATATATTCGGCATAGTTCAAGATATCACGAATGCACAATGCCAGACATTACCAATGGTGGGGGGTGGGTGCCAGACGCAAAAAACCGGTACCCCAAAATTAAGCTAGATCAGCTTGTGAGTTAACCCGATGAAACCTACTGGAAAATTTTGGGCATAGTACCAGGTATCAGGAATGGTCACCGCCAGACATTTTTAATGGTGGGGTATACCTGCCAGACACCCCCAAATACCCCGCCCAAAAAATTGACCTAGATCAGCTTGTGAGTTAACTCGATAAAACCTACTAGAAAATGTTCAGCATAGTACCAGGTATCAGAAATGGCCACTGCAAGACATTTTTAATGGTAGGGTGTACCTGCCAGACACCCCCTTATAGCCCGCCCCCGAAAATTGACCTAGATCAGCTTGTGAGTTAACCCGATAAAACCTACTGGAAAATGTTCGGCATAGTACCAGGTATCATGAGTG